ATAGGCTCTGACTTTTCAATGGCATTTGGTTTTGCCAATATAGGAGGCCTTACAGTCTCCACACGTGTAAAGATAGACAAGCCAAGAACAACAAGGAATGGGGAGGAGATCTTTAGTAGGGAAGAAATTTTTTATGCATGATGTGGATTTAAAAACTAATCTTAAATCCACTTCAGGGTAGTAATGACCAAGTATGCGTTTAAGTTGATTTTTTAAATTTAAGCTATGTTTGCCAGTATAAGGAAGACACGAGTATATAGTAAATGTAGGTACAGTGGGTATCTTAATTGGATTTGTGAGTTTCTTTGTTAGGAAGGTGTTGGTAATGTTTTTTAATAAGTGTTGTGGATAGCAGTTACGTTTCAGGATGTCATGTAAGAAAGAAATTTCAGAGTGTAGAGTAAGATATGTGGAGCACAGGTTGTAAGCTCTGTTTAGTAAGCATGTAACAAGGTTTCGTTTATACGTAAATGGGATAAAGCTATCAAAGTGTGTAAAGAGACCAGTGGACGTCTTTTTTTTGGTAAATGCTCATTAACCGTAATGCTAATGGATTTTCCACATCTTCCACTTTTCCCGATACTGTAGGGTTTTTACCTCTCCTACACTCTCCCTGTTGATCCATTTCTTCTGGCTTAGTCATCCTCTGTGACTGGCTGCCCTTTCAGGCTGGAATGTTAACGTGGTCCTCCATTTGAAACACTTTCCACGTGCTCTTTTTTTTTCACCTTTCCAGAATTATGACTTATTTCTTTCTCCTATTAGCCTGTGGATTTTGGCAGTATGATTTATGTGCCATCATGTATTCTTTATCATCCTACATATCTTCTCCTTTATCCAGATTGTTCTTTCCTCCCTAAAACCTTGGGTAACTCCTCCTTTTCACCAATTTTCCTTCCTTCCATTTCCCACCTTTATGCTTGGCCTAATCAGGATAGACTTCTATATCTTGTACATGCTCTTCAGTGTTATATTGCCTGTACAGCTTCCATCTGTGGTGCCCATTCCTGCCTCTTTATCCCTTGGCAACCATCCTCTGTTTGTGATCTATCTCCTTCTATCCTCATCAATAGGGTTCGACCTTTGATTCAATTAGCTTATTCCTCTCTTTCGTCGTTCTTTCATACTTTGTTCCAGGTGTCTTCTCATCAAATTCAACATCTTACTTTTTCTCTGGCTTCTCATCTTCATCATCCATTGGAGGAAACTCTTCAGTCTCATTATTTGCATAAGGTCGCTGTTACTTCTTCTTTGGGTTATCATCTTCCGCCTGTAGCCATTCTTCCGACTTCCATGTGTCTATAAGACTGGGTAAGTTATATTTATTCTTTTGTAAATTTTTAAGGGGCCTTATTTTCCTTTTCATCGTAATTCTCATTCCTTGGATCCTGCTCTGTGGCAAATGTTGCATGACCAGGTATTTTTTAACCTTGAAAATCAACATTGTTCAGCCATGTCAATGCACTTAATATGTTCTATGGCTACACAGTGCACACTGTTGAGATGGGGTGTTCCATAAGATCACATGAAGGTTATCCTCTCAATGAAATTGCTTCAGAAATATGCCCATCCCAGATTGTACCACCTGTGGACTACATGGGTAAAGCAGGAGATAGCTGCCCATACCTGCCATGCCTTGTATTGAATAAATTGGTATGGTCTGCTTTTAAAAATAGGGGTTCGTGGTCATTCATTGCACTGTATCAGGTGTTGACATTCCTCTGGACTCTCCACCGCATTTCACCCCCCCCCCCTTCTTCTAGTGCAGTTTGGGAGTCCTTACAACTTTCCAGTTCCAAAATGCTGGGGTGGTAGACAGTAGAGGCATCCTCCTGAATGGTTTAATAACATAAAATTTCAATACAGAAATACCATTCAGTACAGAGTAGGGTGGTGGTGTTCTGCTGGTTTAAATGACATGATATCCTCTGCTATAAAGCATATGTAAACCCAAGGAGTGAGACATCAAATTGCAGTTCACTCCTTCAATTAGGATCCCTCATCCTACCCTCACGTGAATAACGGTTCCCAGTAGCCGGGTTTTGGATTTAGAGTAGAACCAATCAACATAAGTCCTCACATGTTTATTATTGATGTCTATCATCCTCCCTCAACCATCCTCCATCTCTGTTGTGGGTCATGGTGGAGGTACTTGGGATTGTTACAGTCCTTTCCCTTCTGCTCTCCCTCGATGTATCTTATTCCGAGGACATCTGGATTGGTTCCAGTCAGTTTCAATGTTGAGGAAGTCGATTTTTTTATGGTATACACCTTTTTGATTCCGGATGTTGGGTTTTTGGATTTATATATCATTTTCTATTCTTAACATGTGCTCTATTTTGGAGGTCGGGGGGGGGGGGGTTAAGGATTCCCTCAGGTCTCATGAGCTTGAGGTGAAGACAGTATAATCCTCATCTTATCCCCATGTGGATGTTGGTTCTCAGCGGCATGAGTTTTGGGTGTAGTTGACTTGCTGAGTACAGTTTGTCATGCCCTAGCCACTGTACACCTTCCAACTGAATGTGCTCCTTTGTTTTCTGCCCATATATATGACACTTTCCCTGATGGGTGAAGAGTATACCTGACTCACAAGTAGTGCAGTCTCTCACATCAGATCTTCGAATTTGACTCTCTAGTCTCAAGGTGTGTCCTTTGGATGCTTTCGAAGGATGCTCCTTTTCTTTCCTCCACCTATTCAGTGTGGGATTCTAGTTAATTATGTGAGAACAGGTAATGTTATAATTTTCCTATACTGAAAATATATTTCCGATAGGTACTTACCTCTCCTCACACTTCCTTCCCACTGAAAACTGGTGCTTCCATTTAATGCCAAAACTCGATGTGATAATTTGGTAGAATTGAATAGAGGGAGTCACAGGCATAACAAGTGTGTGGCACTCTCAATGGTGATTTGCATGAGAGACACATTGGAATAAGTCATTTCCAATGGAGGGGAGGCAAAAGGCTTTGTGGCATGCGTAACATGTTATTTTGCATATAGAGGGCAGCACTGAACTATAATAGCTAATTATGTGAGAGAAGGTAAGTACCTATTAGCAATACATTTTCAGTATAGGAAAATTATAACTTCTGAATATTTAATACACCTATGTTACAATGAAATTGTGGAACAATTAATACCTATAACTATCTCCAGGTTCACATTAGTTGTAAAACTAGTAATGAATTTATTTTACTGCTCTGCATTGAAACTGTTTAGCTGTTGATAAATCTTTAAAATTTTTCATACTATTTTAAAACTATTTGTCTGAGTAGCATGAGATGTTGTTCATATAGTACTTGTGTTGTGAAGTACTCACCATATATAACTTGTGTAGTGGGTTTCTCTCCATATAGAAATTGTTTAGTTGTATTTTCTCACTCCATGTTCAATGTGTGTAGTGGGTTTCTCTCCATATAGTACTCATGTAATGGGTTTCTCTCTCCATGTAGAACTTGCATATGGGATTTTTTCCATGTAAAACTTGTGTAGTGGGTTTCTCTCCATGTATAAATTGTGTAGTAGGATTATCTCCATGTAGAACTTGTGTAGTAGGATTTTCTCCACACTAACAGATGCCTTTCATATTACTCTTATGTTATTGGATACTTCTCTTGTAGGTTTGTGTTTTAGATTCTTTCCAACTAGCCCAATTTGTGTGATATTCTTTATGTGTTTTTGTTTTGGGACTTTGTTTTTGTACACAGAGCTTTGAGATTAGACCTGTATTTAATAGTTGAAACATTTTTAATAGTATTATCTCCCTAAAGTACAAATATTTTTTGTATTTGATTTTTTTGGATGTAATACTTAAATTACATAATGCAGTTGATTTTGGAAAATCATGTGATTGTGTTTTTATATCTATCTTATAATACAAAACATCAGTATTACTTTAAGTGGTTAAACCATATTTGAAATTTCTTTTGTGAGGTATGGCTTCCCCTGGAATTGTTTTCTACATCAATGGGTTAATGGCCCCTGAACTATATTTGAAGAGAAACAAAAAATACATCTTTAAGATAGAGACTGGCAATGACCCACACAAAGCTGAGGTGTATCACCCATTATATATAACTAATGATGTGAATGGAGGGTATTTAAAGTATTCTGGAGATGAGAAAAAGGTAAGAATAATAAAATTATACCAATTAAAAAAAAAGTCACTTTTCAAGTTGAAGTACTTTTCTTAGAAGAGTAAGATAAGGATCATAAGGTAAACCCAGAGGAGTTATTATACAGCATGAAGTAAGTTGCTGAAGAGAGGAACTTAAAAGTGAGACCTAGATTAGCAAATATTTTTGGATTTTGAAAACACAGCTAACAGCAAAATAATATGACTGATGACCTAAAGCAGAGTGATCACAGAACTTTTTGTAGTTTGCTGTAACTCATAATTAAGACTATTTATTATTAATTGTTATTATAGATTTTTAGCAACTTTTCTGGTAGAGTTTATAAAATCTAACCTAGAAAAGATTTACTGTATAGCATTAAATATTCTGCTTAAGAGAACAAGATAAAAATTATGAAAATAAACTTAAGAAACTGGGAATATCATGATCCAACTGACATGACTTTCTAATTTATATATCTCAGTAAAGCAAGAAGATTGGAGACTATAAACTTATATTATGTCTTAGCACAGGGTCATATAGAGGTAGAAAGAATATATAAAATGGGCAATTTGGAGCAAAGAAATGTCACGTGATACAGAGAAGTGAAGATTGAGAATTTATTTAAATATTCCTTCTTGTAATTAACACCTGCCACATAATTCAGCCTGGTATCTTGAAATTGATAAAAAAAAAGAGTAATTCCAGAAAAATATAGGTTATTTTGATTATATTAAAAGAAAATGCTTGGCACTATTTTCAAAGTCTAGGCCACTGAACTAAACCCATGACCTGACTTTAGACCATGAGAGCCAACATGAGGAAGTTAACTTGTACGTGTAAAGTAAAATGATGTAGCAATGAAACATGCTTGAAATGTTCTAGATGTGTTTGTAAATGTGGTGGATTAAGTGTAGCGATTAAGCTAAACCATGGATCCAGGTCAGATGAGGGAAGAACTTATTCGAGGATATCCCAATCAATATGACATTGCAGCTGAATTAGAGAAATATAAAAAATGGGCACAACAGTATCATTGCCTTCAAAAAGGGGGATTGGAATCATATATAAGAACTCATTAGTTTCAATATTTTGTGACACTAATGGCAGAGTAAAGCCCAAAGATGCAGTGTTGAAGTTGAAGCAGATGCATTACAAGATAATTTCACTAGCAATTCTCAAATTGAACATTGAAAGGTGGTATAATGCCCAGTATGGTACCACCATAGTATAATAAAAATAGATTTCACCATGACATATTTTCACTGATACTTTTTGTTTTAGAAGTTGTGCCAAGCTTCATTCATCGAGATCTATCAAAATCACCCCCCCCTCCCCATTGATCATCCTAGGCTCAGTACTAAAAGATGCTGGGATAGCTCTTATGGCAGGTGTTAAAACTTACATAATATTTAAATTTGTATAATAAACTGCATTTTAATGCCAAATGTATTGACATACATTGATAATAAAGTAGTTTGTTTAAATTTGAAGTGTAACTAAAAAAAGGTTGTGATGTGCACTTTGACTTACACAGGGCTAAAACAACTCCATTCACATGGTTAATTAGCTTTCTGTTGAATGCATAGGCATATTAGAAAAGCACAGAGAAGGTATGTTGGAATGTTTCCTCATATCGTTTTAGCTTCAACATAAATAAGTTCAAAGTAATTGACCCATGCAGACCGAGTTCTGTCTGACTTTTGGCAGAAATCAAACTTTCCTAAAGGCCCTAGGATGTAAGGAAGGCTAGGATAATTAGTTGTTAGAATATAGGCCAGAACTTCAGTATATTCTTAGCTTTGTTATATCACTTCCTGTTTGTTTTGTGTGTGTGTGTGATTAGCATGATAGAAATTTGAGAGTAGCCTATTATGTCACTGGCCCAAATATAAATTATCTGCTCAAAGTAGTCAATAGGCATTAGTGATGCATATTATGTCCATGTTTGCTGCCTTCCTCTTGCACTTGTCATGTATGCATATAGAATTACATAGATAAAAGAGATTTCTACTTTAAAAATGAAATCAACAGTCTTGTTTTGTATATGAAGTATTCAAAACTTATGAAGAATGTCAATGTATTTTAAAGAAGTATGGAGAAAATAATTTCGATTTAGAGTTGAAGATTGCAGAACCATAAAAACTGCAAATAAACACAACATAAGTAGTGATGTAGTTTTTAACCTATTTTATTTACATGCTAGAGGTTAGTACTGGCCAAAGCACATGCTCTCATCCCTCCATTTGTGAAGTCCCTTTACAGAACATTTGTCATTGTGCACTCCAGATAGTGTGGCAGTAACCCCAAGTCCAAACCACTGACCACAAAGAGACAATCACTTTTATCATATATACATTTCTGTATCTATATTTTGTTTTTAACACTAGGAACCCATTGTAAATAAGATGATTTTAGTATTGTTACTTCTAGAACTATTATATGCTTGAAGATTTTGCCACTAGCCATCACTGTGATATGTTACAAGGTTACCTGAGAGCTGCAACTTACAAGCTAAGTAGTTCACCTTCTCAGCGAATAATATGCCACTGTAGCCTGAAATATTAGTCATTATCAGGTGAGCCTTTCAGTCTCTTAAAGGCTTTACCCATATTCTTTGGGCAAAACTTGTCTCCAGTTTTATGTTGAGATTTAGGGAATCTGTCAGGATATAATCTTGTCATGATATTCATTGTTACTAGTCAGCCAGAAAGGTATGTCCTTTTATGCCTCTCATTCTGATCTGAATGAAATGGATTGTCTAGTTTTGGCCACTGATCATTCAAATACTAGATACCCATCTCTCCACATTGCTGCCATTTGCAGTCATTTATTTCCTCAGTGAGCCATCTGTTGCTATGATCAGTGTCAGTATCTGCTTATATATATCCATCCCTTGACTCCAGTTGTGTTGATTAGTACTGACCTTTCCCTCCACATCCTGATGCCAATCTTTATTGTGTTTAACTTATTTAATTCCATCTCCCTGGATCCACTCACTAATCTTCATGTTTCCTGTGGATGCATCTCCTCTACATTTTTCTGGGCCTTATTGATCCATAATTTAATTAATTTCAGTCTCTGTATTATTGTGTTTTCTGCCTCCTATCTCAAGTGCTGATATAGTGGGTATAATATGGTTGTAGTTGCTCTGAGTAGTGCTTGGTTGGTTAGAATTCTTTGTCTCATAGTAATGCTGCTAAAACTAAGACAAAAGTGCAGGGTGTTGGTTTGGCTGCTCCTGTTACAGTTTTTATGGCTGCATTCTACACCTTTTATAAACTGGCAATTGCTGACTTTGCTGTTAATGCACACAAGTGGATTAAATACTCCATTTTAGTCATGAGTGTTACTCTTATCAGATATGTGAGGAAGAACTCTTCAATGGTTACTCTTTCAAATGATCAGTATTCCATTCTGTGATCCATCGCAACACCCAGAAAAGTGATAGAGGTTTTATGTGAAATTCCTGTGTCTGCATATGTCAGAATGAAGAGAAGGCTGTCTGTGTGAGAACTAGTAGCTAATATCCAACAGGCTTTATCTGTATTAAGAGTAAAAACATAAATAATATTTTTGGCACAATGAAAGATGAGATCTTTATTAGAAGTTTCAGCTGACTGAAAGGGCAAACATGTTTGTTGACATGAGTTGAACCTGCAACCCACAGATTGTAAATTGAGCACCCCTAACCACCAGGTCATGCCATGCTCTTGGTAGAAAATGATGACATCATGCATAGAAATGTTTTAATATACACAAGTGAAAAGTAGCTACGCATTTTTTTTTAAGTTTAGAGTATAGTAGCTACTTCATAAAATGTGATAGTAAAATTGCCAAGATAAAAAAAACCTCACTAGAAGGAGCGATGTTTGGGATTCAAGATTCATGCCTTGTAAAAATTTCTAACTTTTACAGTTCATATCATTCTCATGCTAGCATGCATGACTTTGAAGGTTATAACTGCTTAACCTTTAAATTAATTTATAAAATTTTATACTATTTATACTATTCACTACTGTGATAAGCAGGGATATATATTTTCTACCTGCTTCACTGATAGAGAAATTTAAAACATTTTCAGTTATTTAGCTTCCGTGATTGCAGCACAAGGTACAGAAAGTCATTACAGATGCTTTGTTCTAGTTCAGTGGTCGGCAACCTATGACCCATGGGTTACTAAGTGACTCGCGGCAATAATTTGGCTTACCCGCCAAAAGTTGGCTTCACCATTGCAACCCGTGAGGGCACAATCATTGTTCAGTTCAAGTTTCTCGGCTATATGAGAAGAACAACATTATTAAAGAAAAGATGGGAAAGAGTCACGGCTACGGAGAATTTTAAGATCAATTTCAGGGAAAAATGTCAAACTGGTCGAAGTATTAATTTTTTTTTGTATGGAAATAAACATACACGTTTAAAATACATCTACCGGTATTAATAATTATATGATTATCACTGACCCAACACAATGCTAAATTTTAAAAAAAAAAATAATTGACCCGCGATCAAAAAAGATTGTCGACCACTGTTCTAGTTGCTTTATTTCTTTATTCCATAAGGTAGGTGATGTCTATTCTGGCCAAGAGGATATTGCAGTAATATATAGCATTATAATATCCCATTGCTGACCAAGTATAAAGTTGACTAAATGTGTGAATTCAACAGGTAAACTCCTTTTCTTTAGCCAGGTTTACTAGGAGGTTATAGTGTAAAGACTAACTTTTAAGAGCATTGTGTTTAGTTTGAAGAGAAAGCTATGGAACTAAGCACTGCTTAGTAAAACTGACTGTCTCTTCATGTGCACAAGTATTGCTGCATTTTCCTTTTGTTTATTCGATGATAAAGATTATTTTCATTTTTACAATTTTTTTTCCAGTCTCATTATTTTACACAGACTAGGAAGACTCAATTACTGGATAAGAATTATTATTGTTTTTACTGAATGAATCTGTGGACTTGTCTGTTTGATACTTGTCAGGAAATCAGCAGTTTTTACCTGAAAATACCATACTATCATTGGTGTCCATATATTTTGCTTTAATGAGTGGTTTTGTATTTTTGCCTGTTACAACACTCATGTATAGAACAAGCCAAAAACAATGGGTGAGATCACTTGTTTTTGTGTCAAATACATAGGGGACCCTATCCATAGTTAGTGGAATTAACTGCAATATTGTATAATTAAGGTATTTTTGTTTAATTTATTTTTATGGTAATAGGGACCCTGTAACCAACAAATTCATGGATTCACAAGCAATTTGGTACTTCAGTAGTTTAGAAAAATGTGCTAATAATCAAAACAATAGGGTTCATATACCTCATTAGTAACTCTGTGGTTAATAACCTATCATTCTTTCTCTCTGTGGTATGAAAGGGAAACCTACTTTTCAGAGTCCTTGTGTCCATCTTGTTTTTCCTTATCTTTACTTTTTATTAACCTGTAGCTGTGTCATTTGAGGAATTCTTCATATCAATAGTCTGAACATTTGTAAAAAATGTGTAATATAAACTTTTCTAAAATTGTAATTTATTTTTAAATAACTTCCACTTTCTGTAATAGCTTACTATATAATAAATCAGTTATAATTTAGAACACTGAAGTGTCCTTGATTGATCAAAACAGATTCAGCATTTTATTTGAAATTTAGTTTTAATTATAATCAATTGCAAAATGAGTTGATGGTTGTCTCAGTCATAATTTTTCATTCTGTAGCAAATCAAGATATATGCTGGGGTAGAATTTGACAGAAGAGGACGATCACATCCTAAAGCTGGTTTGTTAACTCATATCTAAATAAATTTTTGGCTTCTCATTCACTTGTTGTGTATACATCAATCAGTTATTATAGTGGTATTAAGAACTCCCTCCAAAGGTTTTTCTTCATGTATCTCTTAGTAATTTAAGCATAACAACTAACATATTTGTCCAACTTTTTAACTAGTGGATTATATTTCTAGTTTTTTATGTCTGAGATGTATTAAATATAGAATTCACAATCTGTAAACATAAAGCACATGTCAGCACATACTACATAGTCCTGCTACTTTTTTTTATGTTAAACACGCAGTAACAGAGGTCATGGGCTGGCCACCAGGAAACAAATATTGTATTTAGAGCAACAAGGAGTTAATGCAATTTATCAAAGTTTTAAATATGTAACTAGGCTGGAATTCTTTTACAGTAGGTGCCTGTGACTTGATGCCAACAATGTTACTAAAGCCTAGACAGCAATGTAATTGCAAACATAAAGTACAACTCATACAGAGTTATGCAACAAACTTTTTCACTACTAACACTTTTAAAACAATCAATCTTCAACACTCCTGTCATGAAAACTAAACAATCATTAAATATTAAGTCACAAAATAAACTAAATAATAATACTTGCACTAAACAGTCTTGTATATCTAACACAATTCATTAAAGACAAAAACAGAAGCTCTAACCTGTGTTGACAGAGATAACATGAAATATATATTTTACTTTCTTTTCACAATTAACAAACAAGAAAGCTCAAGTAATTCCTCTTCTCAACTTTTTCTTATGACCATCTTGCTGGGGTTTAGTAAGAAATGTGAAAACCAAAACAAAGGAATGTTTTTCTTCTTAAATTGAGGAAGAAATTGATATGGGGTAAAAATAATATAGTTTTAAAAGACAGAAAAACATATATAATAATAGGCATTGTGCTTTCATAAGTTTATGCTAATATTTGTTATAAACTTTCAATGGAATGTTAAAGTATAAAATAGACATGCTGTGATTTTGTTACATTGAATGACTGTGTCATCAGTACCATCATGTGGTTAATGTAAGAACTCATATATATACACCATATATATTAACTATAAATAAACGGATGTATTGGAATGATTTTCGATTTTTGTACTGCTGTTTTAATTACTCCTACAATGGGACGACTCTTTGGCAGTATGACATCTCAAATCTTAGGAAAGATAATAATTTTCCAAGCTTTCCATCATGTGGCTTATGTGGAAACTCATATACATACCATATATATTCATTATAAATAAACAGATGTTCTACTCTCTTGCTGCTGTTTTATATCCTAAATTCCTCCTACAGTGGGACGACTCTGTTTGTGGCAGTATGACACCTCAAGTCTTAGGAAAGCTGATAATTTTCCAAGCTTTCCTAAATTTCGCAAAAGTCTAAAACTGGAATGTGAAGATGGTGATCTAGCTATACTAGAATGGACACCAAACATCACCACCCCTGATGTTGTTTATTATCAGGTAGGATTTTAGATGAACAAATTACTTAGCTTGTTTCTTAATGTACTATATAAAGCCTTTGTGGAAAATGTTAAACCCTCAGACTGATTATTTGTAAAAAGTGAAGAGTAGTTAGTTATTATTGTTTTGACTTTTGAGTTAAAATGTTTAATATAAATATTTTCTGCTTCTTACAGCATTTAAGTGATGTAGGTAAAAAGTATTCCACAAAGAAGTGCACTGACCCTTAGTTGTTTGTTGGAAATGGTCAAGGTTAAAACCAGTTAAATATACTACAGTGACACTAACATCTTATTTCTAGATTTAATGCTGTTTTCTATTTGATATAATTAATTTAAACATTAATTAATGTAACCTCAGTTAAATAAAAAATTAGCTTCTTACATATGCTGTTTCTTTATCTGTAAACAACTTTCAAAAATATTATTGTGACACATTAGAATTGACCTACTAAAAGATACAAGTCAGAGCAGAAAAATGTACAGGTGGTGAAAAAAATATTAGCTGTGGTCTACATGTTGTTATTATAAAACATTCTACCAGAAAGAAATATCTATTTATCTTTTGATGGCAACTTCTCAGTATCAAAATATAGTAATGTATATATATATATATCCATTCTTTAGGTAGTTATGTACTACCTGCAATCTTGTACCAATTAGTGTGCCAGACTGTGAATCCGAGAGTCCACAGTTCACATTGTGTTGCTTCACAATCATGCTCTGCACTTTTGAGCCATGAGTATATGTGTTAACAAACCAGCTTTAGGATGTGATCATCCTCTTCTGTCAAATTCTAACCCAGCATATATCTTGATTTTTTACAGAATGAAAAATTATGACTGAGACAACCATCATGTTAATTTTAAATACAATGCTGCATCTGTTTTTATCAGTCAAAAACACTTCCATGTTCTAAATTACAACTGATTTATTACGTAGTAAGCTATTACTGAAAGTGGAAGTTATTTAAAAATAAGGATAACAACCTCTCTAAATAATATAGAAAGATCACTCTGTTTTTTCATTTTTCATTTCTTTTATTTCTACAGTTTAGGAGATAACTGTTAACCATCTATAAAATAAAGACTTTCTAGTTTTGCTCACCCTCAAATAGCTGTTTTTGGTAAACTCTCAAATCCTTTGCTGAGATCTCTTAGTCTTGTATGATTACTAAAATAAACAACATTATTATATCAATAAATTCCACCTACTGGTAGAAAAGATAAAAAAAAAAACTTGCCATAGTTCTGCTAATTTTACTGCCAAAAATAAAGAGAACATAACAATAGCATCACTTTCCCTTGGATGAGGGCAGGGCATAGTTTAGTGATTAGTGTGCCAGTCTGTGAATCCAATAGTCCATTGTTCACATCCTGTTGCTTCAAAATCATGCTCTGCAATTTGAGCCATGAGTATATTATAAGAGTGATGATCAAATCACAATTTTCAATTAGAGTAGCCCAAAAGTAAATGATTATTGTTGTTGAGTAGCTGCCTTTCCATGGGAATGATGTCACAGATGCAAGATCACTGTGATATGTAATTTTAATCTTAAACAAGGATTAATATAAGTTTATAACTACCACACCCTGTTCACAAGGATGTAACTAAATGCAAAACACCTGCACAAAAAATATTGAAAAGTATTCCTGTATAAAGATCTTTTCTTAGCATATAAAGTAAAATACAGCAGTTTTCAACTATTACAGTGGTATATATACACCTGGAAAAAAGTTAAGCACCCCCAAATATTTTTCAGGATTGCTTATTGAAAATAAGGTTT